CAAAACAACTTTAGCTTAACAAAGCAGTTTTGGCGAATAGATCATGCCCCTGCAGTCGAACTGCTCAATTCTCTGCCATTTAGGAGTTAAATTGTCCTTGTTTCTTTTTACGCAACCGTAGCCACACCTCCCCTTGCTGTGCCTCATACAGCCTCCATGAAAAATAATGACTTTATTTTTAATCATATGTGACATCACAGTGTCTTCACTTTAGAAGTGTTTTTGTCTCCTCTGTTAATTGAACTTTAATTACACAGGAGGATCCTGTGGGCTCGTGTAAGCTATTAAAAGAGGAGATAAGAAATTATAAATTAAAAAGACTATGCAAGAAAGGAAGTTTAAACATCTCTTTACAGGAAATGTGTAGGGAGGCTGTGTGACTAAGACTGCATAGTGTCCATTTAAAGGGACACTCTTAGCACCAAAACAACTTCAGCTTAAACAAGTGGTTTTGGTTTATTGATCATGTATAGAATTGGGCATGAAAACTGCTTCATTAAGCTAAACCTTTTTTGGTGACTATAGTGTCCCTTTAATAATGAGATTCATCATTGTTGTGGTAACATGTACTTGTTATTTATAATTATTTTACTTTGCACAAAATGGTTTGCTCACATATTAAGTATGATATGCAATGTTGGGAAGATTTTACTTTCCAGTAGAGAGGGAATGGCCTGGCACAAAATACAAGTCAATGGCCCAAAACCCATTGGTTTGACCCACACAGCCAAAGAGATGGACTATATTGATAACAACAAAGAAACAACACTTTTCCTCCCTTTTATATCACCACATTTAAATACAATGTGTACAGCAGGGATAGTTTGATTACAAATGTAAGCACAAAGCTTTGATGAAAAATATAGTTTTTAAGTCACCTCTTGCTTTCCACGTGGCGTGACCCAAGATGTGCTTTTTCTCATCTCTTTATAGTATGCCATTTTTAACACTCTATACCCTGACAAGAATCTTCTTTTATTGCCTGTCTACATTTTGCCATATCAACATTTTTCTTACAGTCATTTGAGTGCACAATATATAAATTAGTAGTTTCATTGTAATTACCTGCTTTTATGAGCAAAGCTTGTAATAGTTTGAACGACGGGTCAAAGAGAAGTCAATGTCCCATTGAAAAGAAACAAGCAAACGTGAAAGTTAGAAGCTGGGGGGTTTTTTTTTATTTTTTTTTAATGTACATCATAAATTCTCCTTTTGTGATTAAATGTATTTGTATCATAAACCCATGCTCATTTTATTTTCATTTATTGCTTTCATTATATTGAGTGATATTTGAGTCCCTGTCCTGGTCTTGACAATATTCATTAAAATAGTTAAATGTCATCTCTGTAGGTAAAACCATAAATTTCAAATTCCCGGAAAGGTCTTTCTGTAATGAAGTAATATGTATACTTTATGTATAAACCATACAAAATGGTAATGTGCAAAACAGGAAAACATCAAAAGAGGCAAAACAGATTTTCAAATAATTGATCCACAATAAATTTGATCAAAACTTGTTATGCTGTCTTGCGTAATTTAATAAAATTCTGTAAATAGTGAGGGCTTAATTATTGAAATATGAAAATGGTATCACTTTAACATAGTCATGGGTTAACACCTTTTTTATTTGTCTTTTGCTGTGTTTGTTTATCTTTTTTTTATCCTCATTGTTATAATAAAACATGGGAGACTCAAAATGTAAAGTTTATTATATTAGCAACAGACTAAGAATTATACCATCTAACCAAAGACAGATTAATAACTACACTAACTAAAGAAAAAGTAATAGTTGTCCCCAACAGATCTCATATGACTGGTTCCTGGGTTGACCCAAAGTGGTGGCTCTCACCTGACAGTGTCAGTGATCACGTCTGTAGTAAGCATGTATGTGTTATAGTGAGCACGTCTGTAGTGAGCATGTATGTTGCTGCTCCCACCTATGCATAATGCTGCTCCCACCTATCTATCCTCCCTTATACACAAGTATGTTCCGTCTAGGCCCTTACGATCTGCTGAAGACTTACGTCTATCTTCTGTCCGTACTCCCACCTCTGATGCTCGCCTTCAAGATTTCTCTTAAAAACCCACTTCTTCATAAAAGCGTATCAATTAAACTGTTAATAGCTCCTGACTGATTCCTCTTCTGCAACTGTCACTAGTCTAATACTATCCTTACCTTTTTGTGTCATTTTACCCCACTCCCTCTAGCATGTAAGCTCATTGAGCAGGGCCCTCAACCCCTCTGTTCCTGAGTGTCCAACTTGTCTGGTTACAACTACATGTCTGTTCAGCGCTGCAGAATTTGACGGCGCTCTATAAATATCATAATAATAATAGTGTGTGTCAGTGAGCATGTCTGTAGTAAGCATGTATGTGTTAGTGTGTTAAAATAAATATAAAATAAAAAATAAAGAGCTGCTCCCCTCTCAGCCCCTATCCTACTGCACAAACCCTCTATTTCATAGTACACACAATGCATCCTTACACACACCAAAACATGCAGTGAATCCTACACACAGAGAGAAACACACCATGCTTCCCTTACATACTCACCCTTACACATAATGCATCCATCACATACACAATGCAGCCCACACATACACACACCCGCCCGCAGTGCAGCCCTTGCACACACAATGCATCCCTTACCTACAAAAACACAAAATGCATCCCTTACGCACGCACACAAACCCACACTGCTTTACACACACAGAAACACAATACATCTTACACACACTCAATGCATCCCTTACATACACAGAAACACACCTTGCATCCCTTACACATACAAATACAGATTCACACAATGCATCCCTTACACACACACACACATAGAAACGTATTCCTTACACACAAACACACACTGCTTTCAATCCCTTACACATAAAACACACTGCATCCCCTATACACACACACCACATCCTGTACACAAATTGGTATCCCTATACACTACATTCCATAAGAACACACGCACTACATCCTCTACAATAACACATCCCCTACACACATACACTCCACTACCTGTTAGCGAACTCATGTGTGGGCCATGTAGGTGGACTTATGGGCAGCCTTGTAGGCATACTCATGGTCAGGCCCTGGGGGCCCAGACCTTGAGCTGTGTAAGGGGCCCCAAAAAATGGAGCGGTTTCCTTCTCATTGATTTTTGTGAGCACTGTTACAAACAGTCTCCTGTTCTACACCAGACTAGTAGTGCCAGACTGCAGCCCGAGCCCATCATCATCTTGTTCTCATCTAATGGTAAGAAGGCAATCCAGTATATTATTGGTGGCACTAATCTCTAATTTACCTCACATTTAAGGGACATTATAGTTACCAGAACCACTACAGCTTAATGTAATGGTTCTGGTGTCTATAGCCTGTCCCTGGGGCTTTTTAATGTAAACACACTGCCTTTTCAGAGAAAAGACACTGTGTGCAGCACTGGCGTTGGCTCATGTGGCAGATCATATGGATGGGGCATTGTGATGTCACATGGTGTGCAGAACATATGGGGGGGTGGCGGCAAATGTTTGTTTGCCTAGGACGGCAAAAACCCTTGCACCTGCCCTGCCTATAGTATCCCTTTAATTTATACCCATAGTTACAAGTTGGCAGCCATCACCAGTTTTTTTTCATACCTTGAGAGGCACTTAGCCATAAGTTATGACTAAGTGCCACCAAGGCATGAAATTCACAAAGTTGTAATGCCTAACAAAATGTGAATGCGGTTATGGATTAAAAGTGATATTTTAAATTGCTGAAAGGTCCTTAATTTCTGCAGTCCAGCAGTACATAGTGCTACTTATTTGTCAAGTCAGATGGGTTTATGGGAAGCTTTACAAAGTTTGTGCATTGGTAAACATAAATTTAAAGGATGACCAAATACAAAAATTAAATTAGTTCATTAAAATTACTGTTTAGTAGATATACCCCAATTTAAACATGCATGTCCAGACTTTCTGTGACTGTCCAATCACAGACTTTCCAATGTAGCTAAATGTTGTCTTTGCAAGGCAGGTGCTCTGGGCAGTTGCTGATTCTTGAGCCTAGTGCAAATAAGCTAACCAAACCAGGAAGTATGGTGTAATAAGGGTTATTTATAAAAGTGCCAAAAGTTTCTATTGAAATCTGCACTTTTTATAAAATGGAAAAAAGAGGACAAACTCTTCACATATAATACTGGAGTGTCCCTTTAAAGTAATGAAAACATTATTTATTGGAACTTTTTGGTAGCGCTAGAGTTTTCAAAATTTGATTTGTGATTGTAAATTATAATTATCCTACCTGAAAACTATTACACAACTCAAGAAAATGTACCATACATACATACATACACACACACCTTCCTTCAACTCTTACACAACTTCAAGAATACTTTTTTATAGAAAATATATATTTAACATATATAGCATGTATACAGTATAATTTTGTATATTGGAATTTTCAAACCACAGAATAAATGAATGAAATTTATTGAGTCCCAAACCTGTGAGATCTTGAGAATTCAAAATACAATCTCACGTTTATAATGCAAAAAAATGCAGAATTGCAGAAATATTGCAGGTAATATGTGAGACAAGCTGTCATCTGTAGCTTTAACATCTATATATCTATTGTATTACATGAAAAATAAAAACAAATACACCCAGTTCCAAATTATTATGCAAATGATATTTTTCTCATTTACCTAAATAATTGATGTAAATAACAGTTAGCATAATTCTCATGTTACCAACTATTAAGAATACAATTCAAATTTAAATGAACAAACCTCCTAATAACAGTATTTTTTTTAAAACATAAAAAACTTACAATGCACTGTTCCAAATTATTACGCACAGTAAGTTTCAAAACACTTTATAGGTTGTAAAGAACTGAAAATTGTCATTTGTTGTGTTTGCAGCATATTTACTGAAATCAAAAGCTATTTCAATCAAACTTATAACAACATTTTAACGTTTTAAACATTTTAACAGGTCACGTTACATTTTAACATAGGACCCCTTTTTTGATAGCAGCTTCACAAGTCTTGCATCCATTGAACTTGTGAGTTTTTGGACAGTTTCTGCTTGAATTTGTTTGCAAGATGTCAGAATAGACTCCCACAGCTGCTGTTTGGATGTAAACTGCCTCCCACCCTCATAGATCTTTTGCTTGAGGATGCTCCAAAGGATCTCAATAGGATTGAGGTCAGGGGAGGCCACACCATGACTTTCTCTCCTTTTATCCACATAGCAGCCATTGATGAAGAGGTATTCTTTGCAGCATAAGATGGTGCATTGTCATGCATGAAGATGATTTTATTACGGAAAGCATAGTTCTTCCTTCTGTAACAGAGAAGAAAGTGGTCAGTCAGAAACTCCACATACTTTGCAGAGGTCATCTTTACACCTTCAGGGACCCTAAAGGAGCCTACCAGCTCTCTCCCCATGATTCCGGCCCAAAACATGACTCCACCACCGCCTTGCTGACGTTGCAGCCTTGTTGAAACAGGGTGGCCGTCCACGAACCATCCACTACTCCATCCATCTGGACTGTTTGAAAATTAGTCTTCATGTATTTTTCTGCCCAATGCGGCCGTTTCTGCTTGTGAGCATTGGTTAGTGGTGGCCGAATAGAAGGTTTATGCACAGTTGCAAGACTCTGGAGAACTCTACAGCTTGATGTCCGTGGGACTCCAGAGGCACCAGCAGCTTCAAATATCTGTTTGCTGCCATGTAATGGTATTTTAGCAGCTGCTCTCTTGATCCGATGCATGGATCTGGCAGAAATCTTCCTCAATGTGCCTTTATCTGCACGAACCCATCTGTGCTCTGAATCAGCCACAAATCTCTTAATAGTGCGATGATCATGCTTAAGTTTTCGTGAAATATCTAATGTTTTCATACCTCGTCCAAGGCATTGAACTATTTCACTCTTTTCAGCAGCAGAGAGATCCTTTTTCTTGCCCATATTGCATGAAAATGGTGCTCTGCTTAATAATGTGGAACACCCTGCTTTAGTAGTTTTTCCTTAAATCGGGCTCACCTGGCAATCTAATTATCACAGGTTTCCGAGATTGTTTTCAGTGATCAAAAGAGCCCTGAGACACAATGCCATCCATGAGTTAAACTGAAAAACAAAATATTTAATCTTTGTGACACTTAAATAGAATTTGCATAATAATTTGGAACAGGGTTGTAACGGAACGTTTTGCACACAAGGGGTAAAAACCGTTTAGGCGATCAGCCCCCTTTCCAGAGATACAGGCACAGCTACTGCAGAACACCAAACTCCCAAACTGGATACAAAATAGCACTCCAACTCCCGAACTGGAACCTCACGAATAGCTGCCAGCAGACGAACAGGAAAAGCTCCCAAGCGGCTTACACTCCTGGCAATCAGTCTCCAACAGCATACAGTGAATCCCCCCAAGAACGAGACAAGGCTCCGTGTTGAGGGTCAAGCAGTGGTCTGAGGTGCTGGCACACCCAGCCTGGTTTTATTACAGTGTTTCAAATACAGGACCACCCACAGGGAGGGATAAAACAACCAATCATATCACAGTTACATCCCACATATTCCCTCCCCTTATCCTGAGAGGAAACTCAATTATACAAACAGTTAAAACATACTTTCTACCCAACTTTCATAACTCCAAAACCATACATCACATTCACATAAAATTACATATTCTCAATCAATCCATTCAGGGGAACAACATATTCAAAAATGGCACAAATCAGACAAGGGGTTCAAAAGTTAGTAAAAAGTCCTTTGTGACTAAATGAAGCATGGCTTTCTGGCCCAAACCAGTTTCAGAGTCTTCTATCCTGGAGATAAGTAATTCAATTATCTCCCAGGACAGACACAAGACTCCATTAAGCACATGGTTGCAAAGAGACACAAAACACTTTAAAATACATAAAGTCACATTTATTACATAAAACACAGACATGTAACATATCCCCAGATAGCTCAGGTCCGAGCGCACATTATTAAGTGAATGGCGCTCAGACCACACAAATACAGTTTAATCGCCATGGAGCTAAAGTCTTTACAGTCAGTTTCATACGAATGGGCTCCATGGGATTCCTATCTGGGGTATAACACATTCAAACAAATCTACCGAACCCCAGGCAGAAAAGCACGAATACAGCTTTTCTGCAGGCAAAAATAAAGTCTTTTAAAAAGGGGGCCATAGTCCAAAGGCAGCAGGCGAGCAACCAGGCTTCTCCAATGCAATGTGGCGAGATTGGTCTCGTCACATCTCTCCCCTTTTCCAAACAGACTAACAGGGTATCTGACCTCCTGCCGGTCAGTGCCCTTGTTAGTCCAGCAGCCCACCCACAACAAATAATCAACAGCACAGCCCACCCACAATAAATGGTTACTACACCTGGGTAAAGGAGAAGCTTGTCCATGTCCAGGTGCCTCACCACGGCTGGGCTGGGTACGGGTACGCTGACTTGGTGGGTTGCTGCGTGGGCAGAGACCAGCGGCACTCTGCCCTGTTGCCAGCGCTACTGGGAGGATAGCCTGGTTGAAGCCTGGTTGTTGGAGGGGGAGACCGACTGTCTCCCTTTAAAATACCGCTCTGCTGCTGCTGCTGGAGACTGACTGTCTCCCCTCTGCTGCTGGAGACTGTCTCTCCCCTTTAGATGCACAGTCCTGCTGCTGGAGACCGACCGTCTCCCCTTTGGTTACCCATCTCTGCTGCTGGAGGGGGAGACCGACTGTCTCCCCTTTGGCTAAACAGCCCTGTCGCTGGGGGGCAGGACCGACCGTCCCTACCCCCTGTGCTGGCAGTGTAGAGACTACGGTCCCATCTGCACAGTTGTGGGGCTTACTGTCTCCCCCTGATACATTAAGCTGCCGCTGGGGAGAGGGGGTAACATGCTCCTCTCTCATACATACTTCCAGCTGCGGGGAAGGGAGACCGACTGTCTCTGCTCCCAATAGAGAGTCCTGCTGCTGGGGAAAGGAGACTGGGCTCTCTATTCTCGGTAGGACACTCTGCCGCTGGGGAATGGAGACGGGGCTCCCAATTCCCAATAATCTGTGCTGCCGCTGGGGAATGGAGACTGGGCTCCCAATTCCCAAAACATCATACTGCCGCTGGGGAATGGAGACTGGGCTCCCAATTCCCAAAAAATCACGCTGCCGCTGGGGAGGGAGGACACTGCTCTCCTCTCCCTGGACTTCACACTGCCTTCCCGGCATATCACTTGGCTGCTGGGGGGCAGGAACAACTACCTCTGCCCCCTGTAACTCAGCCTGCAGCTGGGGAGGGAGGACGCTGCTCTCCTCTCCCTGCACTTTACACTGCCTTCCCGGCATATCACTTGGCTGCTGGGGGGCAGGAACAACTACCTCTGCCCCCTGTATCTCAGCCTGCCGCTGGGGAGGGAGGACGCTGTTCTCCTCTCCCTGCACTTTACACTGCCTTCCCGGCATATCACTCTGCTGCTGGGGGCAGGAACAACTACCTCTGCCCCCTGTAACTCAGCCTGCCGCTGGGGAGGGAGGATACTGCTCTCCTCTCCCTGCACTTTACACTGCCGCTGGGGAATGGAGACTGGGCTCCCAATTCCCTGCAGGACCGGTGGAGAGACCTCGGTCCCATCTCTACCGGCCACCTGGGGTTCTTCCCAGTAAAACTGTACCATCTCGTCCCCTCTGAATGGGTCTGGCTCTGTCACCTTGCTGTCCTGCTGAATCTTCTCAATGGAGTGGAAGAGATCTCGGTAGTCCTGCTCCAGTTCCCACTCCAGGGTTGCTAGGTGAGCCAGGTCTTGCTCAATGTCGTGAGTGTCGTCCCAGTCATACCTGCTCTCCCTCCACTCCAAAAGATCACTGAACCGGGCTTGTGTAGGGCTCCCAAATTCAGGCTCTGAAAAAGCCTCCCATAACAAGCCAGGACCATCAAACTCCTCTCCCTCTGGCTTGTCATGCTCGGCTGTCCAGGGCAGGTACTGTGCCCCATACCACCAGAGCGCCTGGTAGGCATCTTCCAGCCAAATCTCCTGCCATACCCGGTGCTCCAATTCCTTCACCCATTCATCTAGGGGCTGCTCTCCCAGGAAGGGCATCCGCAGGGCTACTCGCTTCTGCAACCGCTGGTCTTCCTTGGGGAGTCTCTTGCCCCGCTGGTACTCCACAATACCCAGTGCCTGGTACCAGATGCCTTTACGGACTGCATCTCGGTCATCCATGGCACCCTCGTCATACTCCACTGCTGGTTCCATGCTGGTGCTGTCAGGGTCGCTGTACTGGGACATGCGTTGCCCTCAAATTGTAAAATCCAAAGAAATGGTGTCTCCTGTAGCTGTCCTTCTGGCTGTAGGAACGATCCCACCGCTGCCACCAATTGTAACGGACCGTTTTGCACACAAGGGGTAAAAACCGTTTAGGCGATCAGCCCCCTTTCCAGAGATACAGGCACAGCTACTGCAGAACACCAAACTCCCAAACTGGATACAAAATAGCACTCCAACTCCCGAACTGGAACCTCCCAAATAGCTGCTAGCAGACGAACAGGAAAAGCAGACAAGCAGCTTACACTCCTGGCAATCAGTCTCCAACAGCATACAGTGAATCCCCCCAAGAACGAGACAAGGCTCCGTGTTGAGGGTCAAGCAGTGGTCTGAGGTGCTGGCACACCCAGCCTGGTTTTATTACAGTGTTTCAAATACAGGACCACCCACAGGGAGGGATAAAACAACCAATCATATCACAGTTACATCCCACATATTCCCTCCCCTTATCCTGAGAGGAAACTCAATTATACAAACAGTTAAAACATACTTTCTACCCAACTTTCATAACTCCAAAACCATACATCACATTCACATAAAATTACATATTCTCAATCAATCCATTCAGGGGAACAACATATTCAAAAATGGCACAAATCAGACAAGGGGTTCAAAAGTTAGTAAAAAGTCCTTTGTGACTAAATGAAGCATGGCTTTCTGGCCCAAACCAGTTTCAGAGTCTTCTATCCTGGAGATAAGTAATTCAATTATCTCCCAGGACAGACACAAGACTCCATTAAGCACATGGTTGCAAAGAGACACAAAACACTTTAAAATACATAAAGTCACATTTATTACATAAAACACAGACATGTAACATATCCCCAGATAGCTCAGGTCCGAGCGCACATTATTAAGTGAATGGCGCTCAGACCACACGAATACAGTTTAATCGCCATGGAGCTAAAGTCTTTACAGTCAGTTTCATACGAATGGGCTCCATGGGATTCCTATCTGGGGTATAACACATTCAAACAAATCTACTGAACCCCAGGCAGAAAAGCACGAATACAGCTTTTCTGCAGGCAAAAATAAAGTCTTTTAAAAGGGGGCCATAGTCCAAAGGCAGCAGGCGAGCAACCAGGCTTC